AAATCGGAATGTAGAAGGGGGCGGGGGGAATGGGGACGTGATGAATGTGATGGTGACGTGGGTGCAAATGCGGAGATATAGAATGCCGGTAATAAAAAGAATAAAAATGTGTAAAAATGCGGAGGTGTATGCGTAAATAGTCCTTTGCAGTCGTGAGCATCCTGCGATCCTGGCAGGGGTACAATTGGTCTCATGAAGTCATTGATACACGTGATGTCCATATCTTCTTGCTCGCGCGTCCTGACGCGCACGACGAGCTTTTGCAGGGGCCATGGCCGTTCAGAACACAGAAGTCTGTGACTGGGGAGCCTGTGCAGCGGCAACAGCCGAGGCAGCGGCGGCATGGCGCTGCTCAGCGGTGCCGAGCATGAGGGCCTCGTTGACGTGGCGGAGACGGGCAGTCTCGGCCTCGGCAGCCTGCAGTCTCGTCTGGAGCTGCTGCTGGGTCATCTCCAAATAGCGAATGTGGGTTGTTGCTGTGACGTCACAATCAGCGCCGATCGACGGAAGCAAAATAGGAAAGTCACCGACCCCGATCCAACAAGGAAACCTTGCTCGACTTCTGGTTCGACACGGGCAGCGCGTCCTTCAGCCTGCGGTAGCCATCTCGGAGTTCGTCGCGTCTCCGCTGTTCCGACTCGATGCGCTGGCGGCGGATCTCCTCCCTGCGGACGTCGTTGTTCGCCGACACTGGACCAGGGTTGAAATCCTCGTCGTCGTCACTCGCAAACTCGTCCGAGGCCTTGCTGCGCTTCTTCTGCTGGCGCGCCGACGATCGTGTCACGGCGGCAGCAAGTGGGTTGAAGCGATGCGAGCGGGGGACGGCAGCCAGCGAGCCTGGGGGGACGGAGGGGCCAGGGGAGTGTGTACCGCTACCGCGGCGACTCCGACCAGACGCCACACTGTCGGACGAGAGCTCGCCGGTGCTGAGGTTGGAGAGTGCACCGGGGTAGATGCCAGTCGGGGTGAAGGGGCGCGCGGGGGAGCCGGTCGTATAGGAAGGGCTTGACGTGTACGTGTACTCGCCGAGACCGCTGGAGAGGTTGAGCGAGTTGAAGCCCAGGCGAGGGGAACCGCCAGCTGCAGGGACTAGTCCGACTAAGCAAGCGGAGTAGCTAATATCGTGGTAGTACTTACGACCCATGGCCGAAACGCCGAAAGGCGAGTGGGGGTACTGCAGGTAATCGAGGCCGGAGAGCGGGTCGAAGTTGTTGAAGTTGGCGGCGTCCATGAAGTCGGTGGCCTTGGTGTGGTCGAGGACGTGTTCGAGGTGGGCAGTCTCCATTGCAACAGAAGATATAGTGGGGGATGCTAGAGCGAGTTTAGAATGTGTGTGGGGTGTGTACCGAGAGGACCGTCAAAAAGAGACCGATATAAGCCAGATGCCTGGAGGGGCGGGCGGTCAGTTTATTGTGTGGGGAAGCGAAGTTGGCAAGGGAGACGCACGAAAAAAAGACAACAACTTGACCGGTTGCACGATGGATGCAAAGACAAGGGACAATAACTAAAAGAAGAAACCGGCGGAGGGGGCGGGGCGGGACGGAGGAGGAGGATAAGGAGAGAGGACGGGGAGGGGAGAGAGCTATATACCCGCGAGAAGGGACCACAGAGGAAGGGCCTTCCTTCATCAGCCGCTGCCTCGTGTGTGCGTGACAGGGGAGACTGGCGCCGTGACAGCGTGAGCTCTTCACAGAACGGAGAGGGCGTGACAGGGAGATGAAATGGTTCCGCCCGTCTCCGAGTCTGCCGCGCCGCGACCGGGGGCCACCCATTCTCTCCTCTCCTCTCCTCTTCTCTCTCCCCTCCTCCTCGTCCCCGCAGCCGCTGTCGTTGTCGCTTTCACGCCCACGCCAACCCAGCCCTCTGCCCGACTCGCGCCACGCCTCGCGTCCCACCATTCACACGCACGCATCCCGTCCACCTTCGCCGTACCCCCTCCCCCCTGCGCACCACCACCCCCTGCTGCCCCTGCTGCCCCTGCTCCCTCCCTCCCACCACTCCCCGGCCAGCGGCGAGCCCACTTTACGTGTCTCGCCCGTACCGCCCCCATCGATCGTCCTTATCCGTCACATCACCACCTGGCCAAGCCCGCAAAGGCAAGTCTCCCTTGCGCGTCTCACCAGCCGCTCTTTCCCCCGCATCTGCTCTGTTCGCCCTCCCAGCGCTATCCCTTCCCGGGAAGCTGCCCTCATCCCCGGCAGATCGGCCAGGCCGAGCCACATCTAGCGACGCCTCATGGCCCCGAGTCTAACCCAGCGTCTGCTGCGTTGTTTTCATTTCCCTTGCCGGCTGTCCGCGTCTCCATCTCCCTCTTTGTCCTCTCTTTTCCCCTTCTGCCCCAGCTGACGCTCGCTATATTCCCTGCCCCTTCGTATTGTTCCGATCAATACTCCATATGCACCCGCAGCCTGCGACGAGCCTTGCGCTGCTCTTCTATCTTCTGTCAGTCTGCACAATGAGCCACTGTCATCTTGGTACCCTCCGAAAATTGATTCTCGCCAACGGAGCAGAATCCCACCCTCGCTTGTCCTCTAGATCTCCGCGCCATTCAAACAACCGAATCGCGCTCAAAATCGTTCTCATTGCTTCCGCGTAGGCGCCTCACATCGGCGCTCGTGGATACAATGTTACCATACAATCAAGGTCAGAGATACAACAGCGATACTACAAACACAACATGTCGTGAGCGGTCGTCAGCATAACAATAAGTCGATCGTAACAGAGTCATAAGTCGTGAGTTGTCGTCAAGAGAGCGCAAAGCACAGGTGACAGAAAGAAACAGAAAGGTGACGGAGCAAGTCTGAAACGTCCACAGAAACGAATGAAATCACACCGAGGCGGAGATGCACACGCCGCGCCGACTCGTTCACGCCTTGTAATAGCCTAGTGAAATAGTTTTCCTCAATCACATGGAATGTCTCCGACAATATAGACAACTCACCCCCGATAGTAGGCTGCATGCTCTGATAGTGCTGGAGCAATTTCTCGTATCTCCAAGTCATGAAGAACATATACAACTGTCACGGGATTAGGACCCAGTTATATGAGGACTCATTACCAAATTGGTCACCGGATCGTGTACATGCTTACCTGGAAAGCGAGGTCCACAAGGAGGGCGATGATGAAAACTACGTAGATCGTCGGGAATCCAGCGGTGCACAAGATCGAGGGCATCGAGGTCGTCCCTCCGTAGCCTGCCTCCTCCGATGGGGGCCAGAGCTGCTGTCCGTTCGCGCATTCCCACAAGATCTCGGATTTCCTTGTAAATGAAATCGATGGGACCAAAGACGCGTGTCAGCATGAACCAACAAAGCATATCATGATGAGCGGAAGGCGGGCCAGAGTGCACCAGAAGACATCGTCCGAAATCTCGAAAGGTAGGTTGCAGAACAAGCAAAAGGAATCCGTTCCAACAGATAGGATGATGAGGCAGAACGTTTTGGAGGGCCGTAGCATCGACCACCCCCTGAACCAAAATACCGAGGGCACCACACTAGTGATTGAGTTCCTCCTAAACTCAAAATCTGGCCAGGCCAGAAGCAGGGCCGAAGTACTCGATAACTGAAGCCAAATGAATGCTTGGTGAGCCGGAATATGAACGGCCCGGAGAAGAAGCTGCGCTCCGAGAGCGCAAGTCACCACGCCAAAGCCAAGCGGATCCCAGTCTTGTAAAGAAGCCAAAAGACACCATGGCCGCCGGCAGGGCTTCAAGAAACTCAGAAACAAAACATCCCGTATGCATCGAGGCCTGCATAAAGAAAGCCAAATGTCCTGAAAAAAATCGCCACGTACCCGCGCTGCAATTCGACGATCATGATGATGGCTCGGATCGCACATATCACGATCACAAACGGCCATAGGATCTTACAAACGCGAGTCCATAAATACGATCGCTAGCGGATACAAACCGGGCCGAATTAGCACGTTTGAGGGGTCCGCGAGGGCTTCTTCAGACAGGTTACTCACGTTGGAGAGAGCAAGAACGTTGATAGCAGCGACAACGCCGACGCCTATGCCAATGCCTCCGTAGATCTGCCTAAACGGCGGGGCAATATCGCTCAGATCAGTACATTTGCGCGATAGCACACGCGACAAACCATTCTGGATAAGTGAAGTAGATGTATGGACCTAGTTCGAGCAAGAAAATACCCCCTGCGACGCTGTACAGCTAGAACGATAAATTATGAGAGCTACGCCACCCCAAAAATGTGGATGCCAATACAAAGATGAGGATTGCCCAAGCCATTGCGCCATGACGCTGGGAGAAAGCTCGGGGTGAGGACATGCAGCTCGCGACGATCATGATAGCCTGCTTACCAGAGGCAAGACCAGCAGACAGTTATCGCACCTTCACCGGCGGATTCAGACGCATCAGACGAGGGCGATGCAGACTCCCGAGGAAGAATCGCTCACCACATTGTGAAGGACGAGTGTTTGGGGACGTAAAGAACGAATTTGACTAGTGATCGCTTAAGCAGCAGTAGCAGCAGCAGTTGTCTTGACGCTAGGAATACGAAGACGAGAAATAGCGGTCGCGACAGCGGAACGCAGGCGTATCCTAGCACTGCTGGGAGCAGGAGAGAGAGCTGAGCGACGGCCTGAGACTCTGAACCAGTCGGCGGGTGGGACAATTCCCTCGCTGAGGCACGTTGGACTCCAGTCGGGCGGGCTTCTGGCAGCGTGACAGTCACACTAGTCTGACGTCAGGTTATGCGTCACAGATCGTCACAACCAAGTATATCACTGTGATCTGTCACTGCGTCACAGATGGTCACGCTGCGGAGGTCGCCGTGGCCGCCGTTCCGGGGTGTCAAGTTGGGTCGGTCAGTGGCAACTCCGAGTCCTCCAGTGGAACAGACAGCTGCGCCCTGCACGCATGGACTTCTGCTCTCTTGGAAAGTGATCACACGACCTCTTTTCGACCACGGGACAAGAAGAACGGCGTGCTCAGCGCGCCTTGCACTGACAGCACTGGGAGAATCAGCCTCGACGGAGCGCGCAATCGAGGGAGAGGTCTGACTTGTCCTACTTACCAGGAACAAGTGGTTATGACTAGACGCAGCTGTGATATGCTGGACTCGAGTAATGATGTATTCGGTTGTGAGCAAACTTCTCCTGTTCGGTTTGTTGTGATGCGGCTGACGTTTCCTGAATAGAGATAAGTACATACTGGCAGCGGTCTTGAAATAGGCCGCTGCTTCCTCTGTTCGTAATTACACCAGCGAATATTCTGGTGACTCATTGAAAGGATGTACCGGTTAGCGAGCGAAACTTATTCCAGGCTGGTCCTCTCGCCCGGATCATACTAGCCCAGCATGCTCACCGGACAACTGCGATATGCTGTTCTCCTTTCATACACCATCAGGGCGGTCCCGAGGCGAGGTGCCATACACGTTTTTGCCACAAAGCTGCTTCCAACACGCGTTACTTTGATCTATTGGTGGATCGGCAAATTTCTCTCGCTGGCTCTGGCTCCGACTTCACAATTCTTGCATTCATATCCGGTGCTTGTCTCCTCTCCCCGTATTGACCAGATTCACAGCACCACTTTCCCCACCCCCTGGGACACAGTATCCCAGTCTATGGCTTTTCGCAGATTGCAGATACCAGTCTTCTGACTTCATCGCCGGGCTGAATCGACAATGCTCCCGCACCACGATGCGGAGCTCCTGACCCGCTTCTCGGGCCACACTCTGCTTGTGTCTAGGTGATCATTCTAGTTCATACACTGGCCTCGCACAAAAGTATCCACTCGGTTTATCATACATGCTGCAATGGCCGGATCTCAAACATACATGCCTCCACGGAGTCGTCACGCAAAGCCCAGTATGAAAGTGCCGTTACCCTCTTCAATGAAAACGGTAAAACACCCTGTGTAATTTCCGCTGGTTCACTAAGCGATCGTACCGGTCAAGTGGCCATTCAAAACCAGGGCTTTTCTCAGCGCTCTCCTCCACTTCGTTTCAAGATAGACACCCAAGACGCCAGCGGGGTAACGTGATTGGGCCATTCGCTGTTCATCTTCGTTTTCGGATGCAATGTTTTGCATCAACTGAATGGGTCTCTCGCCGCTCGGTACCCACATGTTGATCTGACGCCGTGAGTGATGCTTCCTAGGTGAACTCTCGAAGCTTGGTATGAGGTTGTTCTTTCAAAGGACGTCGGCACCATTGGTCAGTCTACCGAGGTCCAGCCTGATCGCCGAGGGTGTAGCATGCTCCTCATCCATAGAGATACCTGCTATCGGGCCACCCATATCTCCGGGAAGGTTGAGCCTTCAATCGCAAAGCTTCGCCGCTTTACGACGCTATCTCGGGCACCGGCTGCCGTCTTCGGGCGCTTTCATACGGAAGGTAGGGAGTTCAGATCGCGGGCCGTTCAACTTTTGCTCCCCTCGCTTTCGGGTGACCGTTCTCCAGGGTCGGATGGGAAAGAACTGGCGATAGGCGGCAATGGGTCATCAGGGACTCACATAGAGTTATTCTTCTTTCCTTCGTCCGCTTGGCTTATTTCGCTCCCTCTCCTTCGACTCGCACCACTGGTAAATTGCCTCCGCGGACATCCTGCGACGTAGCTGTACGGCGACTCCTACTCGTAAAGCAACGTACCACAATCCCAAGGTGCGATCATCGCTGTATTGCCCTGAATTATCTCCTCTGGCTCACTGCCGCATGAATCAGGGGAGCACGGCCTCCACGACTGAGAGACCCCGCCGAAGAACGTGTCATGCGTGTAGTGATGCGAACACCGTAGGTGCACAGGTACGAGCGCGCGCGACTATTCCTGTTCAAGCAACTGCGCGGAATCCAGCATTAGTGCGAAAAATGGCTGACGACGATGCAAGATGGCACGTATGTGGTATCTCCAGGTCTCGACCGTTCTCAGCTTACAGAGACTGGTCTTATTTTCCGGTTTGGTTATTAGGGCCCTGCTATTCGGAAGGAGCGCCGATCTCTGCCACAGCCGCATCCCACTAGGTCAGAGGTATGCCGACGAAGAGGGACTCCGCTGCGCCCAGACTTCTGGCGTATTGCATTGCTGAGACTCTTCCAGTAAACTGTCATGATACTCATGCGTCGGGTGTTCAAATCCACCATATCAAGTACACAGGGTACATCATTTGTCGCGCTAGTCGTGACTTGTCTTAGGAATCTGTCAGTGCAGTTTCCCCCGGTTACGCCACCAATTCCGCGTACGGGTCTAGTCGATCTAGGGTGTGCCCCATTTTGATCGCCCTGTGATGAGTTGCTGACGGTGTATCTCTAGACGTGAATCTGTCATATCCCATGCCTTTATTTACAGCATCACGCTCCGCGTCTTGAACTCTCCTTTTAAAACATCTTGCCGGCACTGTCATGTCTGCTTGGTCAATTAGTCTCCTATCACTCGCCTTATAGCTTTACCCAAATCATCACGATATCGTCCGTTACTTAAACACAACTGTATCAATAGATTGTCGAATGACGCAAGACGTATCTCCGCTACGCTACAATACTGATTTGGTAAGGTCATTGCAACGCAACTGCTAGTGCTAATACAAAATGCGTAATGGAGAGAATAAGTGAGACAGAACCAGAAGCGGGAAGTGGACGCGCCAAGACTGGGTTATCATGGATTTCTGTGTTCTACAAGAGCAATGTTCGTGACTTGGGGGAGAGGAAACAAGGAAATGAAAAATGACGAGCACGTCCGGAGGAGCTCAAGAGATGCACGCATCCTGGTTATGCCAATATTCGTGTCTCTTTGTTCGCGCCGGATCGGAGGGACCTACACAACTGTGCACGCGCCAATCGCCGATCGACGAAGTGCAGGATGTGTTGGTATAGACTGATAGCATGGCCTCTGAGCACACCAGCCTGTAACTTCAAGAACAGAGAATTGCGCAGAGATTGACACTCAAGTCCAGCAGGGAGTGAGGCGAGCGGACGTATAGGGATAAGCGCGCCTGGCGCTGTACACAATCCCTCCAGCGTCTCGAACTCGACCAGCAGACTCGAGCTGCAACGAAGATGTCCGGACCTTCCTGCATCCTCCATTCCGAGACCGTGCACCGCATTTCCAGATGTGGCGTCGAGAAACTCCGCGCAAATGTTGCAGTCAAGATGATGCATGAAGTGATTGGATAGACGTTAAATTGAAGGTGGCACTTGAGATTTAGCAAGATGAAATAGGAAGAGGGATAATGTCCGTTGTTAAGCGTAAGTCGACATAAGACATCGTCAGAAGCCTGCTTCCGAGGCGGACGGACTTCTTGAGTCTTCTCGAGGAGGAGCCTGCCCGGCGACAGAGGCGAGCTGATGGGGCTGCGAGGTCTGTGAATCTTCGGGCGGAGGAGACAACGGCCGGGAGTCCATGTTTACCTGGCTGGGAGACGGCGAGTTGCCGACGCCTAGCGAGATCTTCTCGTTAAGTGAGCGGAGTCTTCCCACCTCCAGCTCTACTTGAGCAAGCCGAGCTTGCAGTGCCTTGTTCGATTTTTCGAGAGACGTAATGTGGTTGCAGGCTGACCGGACCCGATTTGTATTAGCGCGGTATCACCTATATAAGAGAGGCATGGCTTACCGCGTTCCAACAAAGAGACCTTGCTGCTTTTCTGGTTCGAAACTGGCAAAACATCCTTCAACCTAGCATAGCCGTCGCGGAGCTCGTCCCGACGCCTCTGCTCAGCCTCGATCCTTTGTCTTCGAGTCGCTTCCTTCCTGGTATTGGCTAATGTCTCTGCCATGTTAAAAGAATCCTCGTCGTCCGAGATGGAGCGACCTCGACTGCGCCGACCAGCGGATGAGCTCGTAGGCGACGGCGTCGGGTTATACCGCAACGGGTTCCTATGCACGAGCGAATTGGCACGGGAGGAGGACGGGGAGCCCGTAGCCGAGCTATTGCGGGAGTGATGATAGATCCCGTCTGCGGAGGTGTCCGATCCGGACACAGGAGGGGAAAGGGGGTCGTACATATTCGGTGATTGGGGAGGGGGGGACGCGGAGAGAGGCATCACACCATGAGGCGGCGATGCGTTGTACACGGGGGCGCCATATTGCTGTGGTATCAAGTTCAACGACCTCTGATATTGCATCGCTTGGTGTAGATCCGTCTCGGAAAGCTGGCCTGTTGTTGCGCATTGCAATAGAATGACAATGCGACGAGTAAGCGTATCAGATCTGGTATGCACGCTGAGATGAAGACATGGCGTAAAAACCCACGCGGAGGGGGGCCAGGATGCACGACTTGATACGAAGCGGGCATTTGTTGGGAATACAGCATATAGGACTGGTCGTCTTCGGATCCATACATGGGGTAGGTCTGAGGGATGTAGTTCTGAGAGTGGTCGTCCATTGGATGAGGATCCATGGGTGGGTCGTTCTTGTCGTTTCGTCGTTGAAGGGGGATACAGGGAGATAAAAGGGAGAAAGAAGAGAGAGAGGAAAAGGACGGAGGGGGACAACAGAACGAAAGAAACAATGAGAACAAGTCCCAATCCCAGTGGCGGATCCTCAATTACGTCCAGGACAGAACCCGACTCAGCCGCCGCGCACAAGTCGGTCGCTCGTCCCTTTCGCACGCCGGGCGCCCGCTCTGGCTCCTGTTTCGAATTCACTAGGCCACCCTATTGTCGTCGTCGGGGACGACGACGAAGACGTAAATACAGGCAACAACAATCGACCTTTGAACACAAAGAAAGCGTCCAAATCACTCTCTACACAGCGGCCGAATTGTGCTCTGTGCTGCGGCATGTCGAGTGCCCAATCTTGTTATCTTCCCCCATCGCATCCCCGGCCACCCCCATGAGCGGTCCTACTGCGGTCATCCGCTTCGCCGCTATACCCACTGACCCACGCATATGCATGACATGGAAATCGATAGAGACGGAAGACGCTCCGGTACGCGGCATTTAGCACCCGTCCTCCTCATTTCAAGTCTAGGAAATAGCTACTGATCACCGAAGCGAGCACCGGCTGATAGCACTTGAGCTTGCCCGGAATTCGTCCTTGCCAGCACCCGAAGAGATGCGACGACTCGATGCTTTGAATACCGTACGAACAATTCTGGATAGTAGATTCAGTGACAGGGTGGACAACAATGCATACGTTACAATCTGATTACTCCATCCGAGTCAATTCCCACTGGGCTAGTATCCTCACTTCGCTGCGCGTCCCCCTCATGCGGATCTTCCTCGTCCTGTTCGTCCAGAAATCCTGGGGGGCCACTCAGCATGCCTTCTTCCTCAGCCAATCCTCTGTACCCAACACCCCTCCCATCAGAAGAGCCATATCGGAGACGATCGATCCAGCTATGGACGGACGAGACAATGCTTCCGAGAGGGATGAAGGATATTCGGGGAATCTGATCGAAACCTCGAAGTTCAAGCACATAACGGTTGTACCAAGTTCCCACCAGGATGTATAACATAAACACCGTTCCCATTCTAATGGATGCCGGGACAAGGCAGATCAGCTATGATTAGACAAAATCTGCCATAATTCACGTACATAGCCGCAAGAACTGTGATAAATCCAATATTCCCTGTCTTCTGATGTGTCGGACAAGCTACCTGTAGGAATCAAGTGCATCAGAAGGATGAGTAGGAATCGAGCTCGGTAAGTTGGCCTGACATGAGTTCTCCACTCGACAAAGAATGCACACGCGGAGCCATCATCAGGAGGCAATTGTGCAACGAGTTCCGGATTGCCTTCAAAATATTCAGTACAACCTGGGCTTGTCAGCGTCACTGCCCAATTACCCACCTGCGCCGAATACCGATGTATCGCAAATGAACCTGACAGCGGTCGAGGCCGTCATGCCGTCAGCATCGGGGCAGCGCGAGCCGTCCGTCATAATCAGGAAGAGGTGATCGTTTCGTACAAGCAGCGAGGTGTTAACGTTCCTGACAAAGCATAAGCACATTAAGTGGACTGCCCGGAAAGTGAGTGAATGGTCAGTGCACACACCCGATGGAAAAGTCGCCCTGTCCTGTATTTTGCCGGGCAAAGCCAGCAACATCCTGGGGATTTTCGATTGCCAATGTTTCTGTGCTGACCGACCTGCATACATTTATGAAGAATTCCCTTCCGTCCGGGGACTTGAACTGATAGTCTTTACTGGATACTGGCGTCAATTAGTGGCAAAGCTTCATAGAAGTGGCAGAGACGAAAGGGAAGTGAAGCTAAAGTCGTAGACGGTCCCAAGCGCACCTTGACTTCAAGGAACTCAAATCATAGTAATTGTCGCCGTTATGGGCCGTGCATGGTTCCTGCGCGCGGACAGCCAGCACCAGAAGCAAAAATACAGATACTATACAAAGCATCATTCACAACTCTCCTCAACTGCACAAGTATCAAATCATAAAGTTTCGGGGCTTGAGAATAAAGCTGAAGGTCGACTGTACTCAACCCTCGGCGACTGTGGTGACTGGCAATTTAAGATCGAGGCAACAAGCGCTCGATGCGGTCGACAGATCACGAGATTGTGAGAGCCTCACTCCTAACGCGGAAATATGACCGGCCAATGAGACCATCCCGTTTGGCACCGAGTCCCGACAGCGTCGACGACGGTACACCCAACCTTACTTGTGGCGACGATGGCCTCAACGCTCTTACGTCGCCACCTGGCGCGGTCACCGCGAATATCTGCATCTTCGCCGCCATATATCTCGGTGTTGAATGCTCGTCGTGGCCTATCTGCTTCCAATGTCCTGCAAGCTGAGCCTGCGACTGACCCCAGTGCCGCTGCCCAGACACGAGGAGCAAAAAGCATATTTGACACTCATACAGTTGAGGATTTGCAGGGTATACACGCCTCGGAGATCTTAGCAGAGACAGGGACGCGAAGAGATGCACAAATGAGACACTTCACTGGTAAGTAATCGCGCTGTTTGACGAAATCACTGGTCGTGTTCATTCGTGATTACCATGCCTAGTTAACTTCGGGTGAGAGTCTCTGTTGGGAATACCAATCGTCTGTTCTTTTTGCTGATGAATGACAGTCCTCAACATCCTGCTGCTCACGGCGTACTTCGACTGATTCTGGAGCTGAACGGCGAAGAAGTATTGCGGGCAGATCCTGTGAGTCATCGCATCATCTTCCAACGTCTCTTCCGAATAGATCTTTGAATGGTATAATATCTCAGCATGTCGGTCTCCTCCATCGAGGTACTGAGAAGCTCATCGAGTACAAGACATACACTCAGGCGCTCCCATATTTTGATCGGCTTGATTATGTTTCAATGAGTATGTCTATCTTTTCGTGATTGTAGCTCGATGGCTGATCCCGTTCCAGTGACGAATGAGCTCTGCTACTCTCTCGCTGTAGAAAAACTGCTTAACATCGAGGTACCTGAGCGTGCTAAATGGATTCGAACTTTGTTCGGAGAGATCACTCGTATCTTGAACCGTGAGTTTCTTATAAACGATGAAATTCTATCATTCACATTTGAGTGTAAGATCTAATGGCCGTCCTCACGCACGCCATGGATGTGGGTGCTTTAACGCCCTTCTTGTGGGGTTTCGAAGAGCGGGAAAAGCTTATGGAGTTCTATGAGAGAGTTTCTGGTGCGCGGTTGCACGCAGCATATGTACGCCCGGGTGGTGTTGCGTTCGACCTTCCGCATGGTCTTCTGGAAGATATTTACCAGTGGGCATCGCAATTCAGCTCCCGTGTTGACGAGATCGAGGAGGTTGTTACTGGAAACCGTATTTGGAAGGAGCGTACTATTGGCATCGGCGTTGTCACGGCCAAACAGGCACTGGACTACAGCTTCAGCGGAGTCATGTTGCGGGGCAGTGGTGTACCATGGGATATCAGGAAAATTGCTCCATATGACAAGTACGATGAAGTAAGTCGGTTTCTGCTTTCAGTAGTATGACTCTTAGATTTCCATTTATTCAGGTCGAATTTGATGTTCCTGTTGGTAAGAATGGCGACTGCTATGATCGCTACCTTTGCCGTGTCCAAGAATTCCGAGAGTCTCTCCGGATCGTTGACCAGGTAGTTTTCTTTGAGTTTCGAAAATATTTGGGCCTCTGTCTGACGTTCACGTAGTGCCTGAATAAGATGCCCACTGGGGCCGTCAAAGTCGATGATTACAAATTGGTTCCTCCTCCACGAGCCTCCATGAAAGAGAGTATGGAGTCTCTGATCCATCACTTCAAAGTATGTTGTTCTTGCCTGTCTGCTCTATTGATTTTGACTTCCTATCAAATTTGTGCCATTGTTATTTATAATTATAATAGATCTTCAGTGAAGGTTATTCAGTTCCTCCAGGAGAGACATACAGTGCCATCGAGGCTCCCAAGGGAGAGATGGGTGTGTATCTGATCTCCGATGGGACAAATCGACCCTACCGTTGCAAGATTCGCGCTCCTGGGTTTGCACATCTCGCTGGTGCTGATATGATGATGAGACGTACGTATCTTCCTTGATACATGATTGATTTTGTTGCTAATCTCCGATATCGTAGATGTAAGGATTTCTTTATCCCCCATTACAGTTATGCAATACTTGACATATTTGTCCACTAACAGCATTATCTTGCCGACGTCGTTGCGATCATCGGAACTATGGTCAGTCCCTATGACTGTAGGCTATACTTGTTACTAACATCATTGCTTAAAGGATCTTGTGTTTGGGTACGTCTTATTACAATCTTGTGGACCAAAGTGGAATTCTGATCTTTTATTCGCATCATGTATCTCAGTGAGGTCGACCGATGACATAATATATAATCAGCTTTGTAGTCTCCTAGACTAGATACCTGTCAGAACAAGACAGTGACGAGATGTTTAACAACATCACACGCTAGATGATCTCCAGCAAGCAACTCAGCAACGTCGGAATTTGTGTTACACGATACGTAAGGGATGTTCATCTGCTTTGCTCACATGTACCTCCAAGCTTCTTTCGCTCGGACTAGCGTCTGCAGATAGCTCAGGTAATAGCTTCTGCGCGAGGACCCTGAGATAACCACGTTCGGTGTTCGTGTGTCCGCCTATAGTTTCAGGATAAGTATGATGGCTCCGAGATGAATTGTGGTCAATAGAATACTTACAAAGGGCTACATTGTGGCCACTAGCAACCGCTTCTAGAACTTCGTGGTGCACCATCTCACCAGTAAAATACAGGTCTGCATCGACGCCAAGAAGCACAGATCCACCTGAGCCAGCGCACACAGCAACTGACCGTACGACATTCGGGTCTCGAAGAGGTGTATATGCGACTTGGACTGGAACAAGTTAGTAAATGAATAATCTCAAGCATACAGCGGCGTACTGTGTTGCACATTTAGATGAGCCTTAATTCTTCTCTGCAGCTCGGACATGCTGATGGGCTCTGGGAACGTTATGACCCTACCCAATCCACCCATACCGTCCTTGTCCGCTTCGCCAATGAACCGAATGTTGTCCTGCGGGGGAGCTATTTGGTTATTGAGGCCTAGGCAGAGCCAGTCGTTAATACCGCCAGTGACCGAATCTAGCGCAGTGTGCGGAACGTAGACTGATATGCCTGCGGCAGCGCATCGTAGTAAAGACGCTTGAAGAGGATTAGAGAGGGTCAACGAGGAGAAGGGTTTGAATATAGTCGGGTGGTAGGCGACGATGAATGCTGTCGGAGTGCTCAAAGCTTCAACCAGTACGGCTGGAGTTAGGCTAGATTCGATATGTCAAATCATGCTAAATAGGTGGATCAAATGAACATACTCGATCGTGAGCAGAACACGGTTGGCGTTGGCGCGTTGTTGCGGGGCCTCTGCGACCAAATTTGTTTAAAACAAGCGGAGAAGCTAAAAAGCTGAACGTCGAGTACCGAGCAGTAGGCCAACCTTAAGAGCATGTAAGTGCGCTGACAAGACGTCGAAATACTTTACTTACATTGTCCCATTTCTCCGCAAGACGGAGAGGCGCAATGCGCTCCAGAGCTTTGCATACCCGTTGCACAATTGACATGTCCGTATGTCTTAGACTCAGAGGGCAGAACGATAGAGAGATATTCACGTGATATTGACAGGATGTCGAGATTCAACGCGATTCTGTGTCATCGACTCGAAGCGGCTTACACTATGCTGCTCCCCCGCCTTTATAGATCCTTCTCCTCCGGGCTCGCGTCCTTGTTCTCGTCTTCCCCTCCCGACCCAGTAAGCATCCCCACATCTATTTCCAGTACGGCCGCTCCATCTTCATCCAAACCATCTGTACATCAGCGCAAACTCATGGCTGCCAAAGACCTTGTTGAGGTAATAACATGGACCGTCCGCATACAAACAGTGCTAATACTTTCCTCGCCTTCCACATAGACCGCCGTTTCCGATAGCACGATCACCATCTTCTCCAAGACTTGGTGCCCATACTGCAAGCGAGCTAAGCAGCTGCTCACGACCAAGTTTCCGAATGTTCCCACAAAAATCTTAGAGTATGTTTATGGATTTTGTTTATCTTGCTGCTTAACAGCGACACTCGGCGTACAACAGACTAGACGAGCTAGATGAAGGAAGTGAGATACAGTCCTATCTCGCAGAGAAGACCGGTCAGGGGACCGTACCTAGCATCTTCATCAGTATGTTACCTGCCTTAATCTGTCAACGACAGTTACTGAGAGGATGCTTCTGTTAGACCAGAAGCACGTTGGTGGATGCGACAACGTTGTGGGTCTCGACTCGCGGGGAGAGCTTGCGAGTCTTGTTGCAGCGTGAGCGTCCTTGCACTTTGCGCTTACCGACAGCGACAGTGACCCGTAGCTCAATTACCCCTACTGTTGCGATAGTGGTACTTCGCCGTCTCGTTTGTAGAAGTTAACTGTGTAAACTTGTATTGCGGTGAGAGCGGTCGAGTGTCTTTCGTATTACTATCATATCAGATAGGATACTTGTGAACATTTTTTCAAGTAAAGGAACGGCCAGTGTTCATAAGCTGCTTATTCTTGGAGTGTAGTAGGGTTCTTCTCAGCCTGGACGCGTTCCCTGAGCGCGTTTTATGACGTTCACGTGATGGAAACTTAGACAGTCCTTTGAATAGACACGTTTGAAGAAGAGACTGCGGGACGAGAGCAAAACTCGCGGATGTACGACTGTTATTTGTTTGCGCAAGGGTTAACATCCTGATAGCACCAACCGTGCGAGCTTTGCATAGTAGAAATCTACGCTTGGTTCATTACCCCTGCCCCCGCCGAGATATATTAAGATGTCTACACAAGCCCTACAAGAGGACCAGCTTCTTGAATTGCTTCTCCAGCTCAAGGTAGGTATCAGATTCGTAAATACAATTTTGGACTGCTCAGCCCCACACCTCCAGAAAACTACGCCAGAACAAGCGCGTACGATATTGAACAGCCAGCCCCAGATTGCGTATGCGCTCATGGCCGTGATGGTGAATATCAATGCGGTGAACATGGACGTTATTCAGGTATGCTGTTTATATATTCTATGCCCTCTTCTTCTGGTACTTATTCATCAACCTCTCAGAGAATTCTTGCGAGCTACACCACAAGTCAGGGAAATGCAACAGAAGCACCAGTTTTAGGACTGCCTCCAGCCCCTTCTGTCCCCCCACATCTCGCGTCGCAATCCGTTCATCGAGGCAGCACACCCTCACACGTTCCTCAACCCTCTGCCTTTCCTCCTTCGTCCTATCCCGCCCCTCCACCAATCCAGCCTGTCACCTCGCACAATGGCGCACCACCATCTAGCTCAGCACTGCCAGGGCTAGGCGGTTACGTTCC